GCTGTGATAGGGGTGGTACGGGTACGGTCTGGTGTAAGCAGCGGGTGTCAGTATGCAAGTATGATTCCAACCTGTTTGCCTGCTTGTGGGATGGAAAATAAGCTGATTGCAACTAACCCGTATTCAGGCGTAAACGAGATCTGATAATCGGCGCCGCGAGTCGCGCTGTGTTGAATGACCTTTGTCCAGAACCGCTCAAAGAACTCCCTCTCGGGCTTATAGACTGGGTCTGAAGGGTCGGCGCACTGCGATGCTTGTGTTGTGCCGATGCGGGCGTGGACGTGGTAGATCTATGGACGTCAGTATCGACGTTGATCACTTATGCGCTTGAAGCATGGTGTTTCCGTTCAACTTACATGCGGGATGACCTTTTCGAGGACCTCCTGGTCTTCTACGGACTCGTCCAACAGACGCTCTGAGACGACGACCCAGTGCGAGATGTCGGCGGTTATGCGAAGGCTGAAGCAGAGTAGCCACTGTCAGAGTAGTTCTCGGTACACGTCATTGAGAGTGAGTACTCACTTCGGCACTCTTTCCAGGATGTACCTTGCCGCGTACGGGTTGAACATGGATCGGTTTCGGTGTGTCTCGTGTGTCACTCGCCCCACAAACCCCAGTTCCTCGTCGATCTTGAATGTGCCTTGGTAGAACTCGACAGACTGGTCGAGAGTCCAGATGTCGCTATTCCTCGAGACTCAGCACTGTGCCGGTATCAATGTGTGACCTGTTGGGGGAGCGTACCTTCCAGACTGTGCGTTCACTTTCACGGGCTTGAGAACTTGGGCACGTTCGAGTTGCTTGCGATAGTGCTCGAGGTGGTCTTTTGGCGTCAGCCCTGGTGGCCTGGGACCTACGTATCCGGGCCATGAGGACATGATTCTAGAGCAGGGGGCATTAGCACAGGTGGTTTTTGGTGGCTAGGGGAGATCTTCAAGCTTACTGTGCGACAAGCTGAAAATCAAATTGATCGAGAATGCGTCTCAGTTCGGGTAGTTGCTCGGCGGGAATGTCTCTGTAGTCAATCTCGACTCCGGCTACGCGGTGTAGTGAGTCAGTGGCGAGGGTTTTCTCACAATCAGAGCCACAACGATGCGAATGCGGACTTACTGTAGCCCTTGGCCTTGAGATCTGGGAATAGAGCGACCCAGTTGGCGAAGTTGTCGCCAGGGGAGATGCCCCATAGCGTGCGGAATCGAGCGATGCTAGGCATGTTGACCAAAGTGCAGATACGATGGGATCCAGTGACGGGCAAGAAAACTGACGAAGGAGAGAAAGATCAGAGGCAAAGGATCAGCTTCGAGAGACGGAAAGCCTGGTAAGGCGAATATGCGAGGGCGAGGCATTGCTTTTTAAAGCTCGCACAGCTCCCACTAGAACCCCTCCATAGCATTAACCCCGTGCCAAAGCTCCCCACGATTCCGTCAAACTCGGGAGCTCTTATTCCATCTATAGCCGGCCAATGACCCGAAGCCAATTCGACCAGATGGGCTTCAACGGTGGACCCCGAAAATGGTCCGAAAGCGCCCGAGTCTTGCTTTCTTTGCTTTTGCTATAGTCAAACCTGGGGCCATCGTAGTCTAGAAGGGATACACTCGGCGAACTCTTACTTGATATGGACAGTCCTCAAAGGAACGGCGCAATGGCATCATCCCGTCCGACTTGGGAACCCCGCGGATTGCAAGCCCCTCCCCCACTTGCCAGAAACGGTAATTTTTCCCTCGGAGTCTGGGGAATAGTGGATCATCCATTCGTTGTGTGAGCTTCAACTCGAGTCTCGAGCTGCCCAAAGCCTGTGAATCAGGAAAGGGAATAGAAATGGAGGCGTTCTGAGCTGTATCGAGTAAGACTCGCCTATGTCCTATGTCTGAGATCTGTATGTATAAAGACAGAGCGTCGTGTTTTGGTGTCTCTTGCCGCGCCAGTGTCAAGTCTGACTGGGTGTCAGTAGCTTGATGGTGCCAAACCAGTCTGCATGCTACTTAGATCCATGCCATCTTGGAGCGCATCGAATTCTGTATCAGAGTATTCTCGCTTTTCATTGATGGCTATTGATCACACCCTCTACTACCTGAGACTAGGCTGTTCGAAATACCCAGCCCTATCGGCAGATCTTAACCAACCATACCGGGTTCAATGCAACGTGGGAGACTGAACTAGACATCACGATGAATTCCATTCGTCATCAAGTCGTGATTAACCCCTAAAAAGGGAAACAGGATATCTGCGGCAGATATTCTGTGCTAATAGACTGGCTTTGAAGTCCATGGGTTATCCTACTACCCCGTCCACCGCTGTCTTCCTACCTGACGTGAATTACGTCTAGAGAGCACGGCCAATGCAGACAGAGACCCTGTCGTGGGGATCCATAGACTGACGAGAGGCCGACTTCTTTGTATGATCAGCTCTCCTGGTTCTGAATCTCCATTGCGACATGCCAATCCAAATGTTCGAGAACATCTTCTGGCTGCACAGCCTCGTCACACATAGGGCACAAGTATTGCTGTCCTTGCTCGTCTGTGGAGCTACCTTGAACGGCCCGAGCCGAGATACTCGCAGTAGCTAATCTCCCTGATGTTGAGTCTTCTGCTGCATCGTTCGCTGTATACATCCTTTTTCTACCTGCATGCTTGTTCGCCACATCTCCCTCTCGGCTTCGTTTCCGAAGGGACGCAGAGGAGTCCGATGTAAAGAAGGATGTGATACGGTGCCCAGGATCAGACGTAGGCACCCCGGATTCCAGATTCGACATGCTAACAGAGATACCCAAGCACGGCCAAGACTCACCGTGGTCTGTAAGATCCTTGAGTAATCCATGCAGCATGTTAAATATGGTATCCCGGTTGATCTCGACGTGCGGTGGGATCGGCGCTTGCTTGGATCGCGTCGGGCCGAACCGACCCCGGATATGGTGTTGAACAGCAATAGTCCTGGGTCGTCGAGGCACCTCTGAATCCAGATCGAGATCGCGTAGTCGCGACTCGAGATCTGCCGCAAAGATTCGCAGCCATTTGCTGGCCTGTTGAAGGTTCTCGGCTTTGGGCACAAAGGTCTTGGCAGCCAGCAAAGACTGGACTTCACTCCGGGGCCTCACTGGGCCTGTCTCGTCACCTCTGATGGCCCTATACACCCATTGACCATCTGGCGCTCCCAATTCTGATCTCATCTCTGCAAGTGAGACCTGGAGTAGGTCGCGTATGCCATCGGACCCGAACGCCTTGACGACTTTCTGACCAAGCTGCCTTGCCAAACCGGAGAGTGAGGTCACTTTGAGGGTCGGCATAATGGTGGGGATGCATTTGCGCCTGATGATTGTTTGACCGAATGGTTTGTTCATTCGAGAAGCGACCTTGGCGAGCATCTTGTTATGGCTAATGCCAGCGGACGTCGTGAGTTCCAGTTCCGCCTTGATCTCTTTGCGGATGTTGCGAATAATGCTAGCCCCGATGCTCAGTACCACATCGTCCCAGTCGAGTAAGTATTCTGGGTCACGGGCATTGGGGAGATCCATCACTTTGTCCGACTTCCAGTCGAGCGACGTGTCCACCGGGGGCAACGGTAGCGTCTCTTCGGGGTTGTTTCTGAGCGATCCCAATCCGGGGAATCGCTCTGTCAGAACCTGGTAGACTTGAGCTGACAGGTCAACGTAGAACTCATCCACCCCGGCTTTCTCGATGGTAGGCGCAGGTGTGGCCGGAAGAATCCTTCGCACAAGCTTCATCGTCCTTCGCGACATGTCGCGATATGGGTCCAGAGAGGCCTTGTCCGTCGTCAAATTGTCCAGAACGTCGGCCCTGTACCTCCAGCAATCATCGCCTTCCCTCCAAGTTGGGACATGTTGAAGGACGATGTCTGGGCAGAGCCGACGGGCTTCCTCCACCGAGATAGTCCTCTTCAGTCCGCGATCCTTTGCTGGATAATTCAACGCGATGATGGCGTTCCATTGGCGCACTGCGAGGGGCTTGGAAGGAGGAAGACCAAGCCTGACTGATTCGTATTGGGCATAGAAGGAGTCGTAATCGACGAGTGCAACAACTCGGAGAGGCGATTCTGGGGATGATTGTGCTAGGAGCTGCAAGTCATGCTGGGTGAATTGTGATTCTGCGCTCGTCGGATCAGTCGGGAACGTGAAGCTGTCATCGGACATGTCTGTGGCGTGTTCAGCTCCGTAAATTCATGTCATCGCTTATTTGATTGTGTAAGCTGAGTGAAGACCTTTGAGTTCAAACGCAAGGCAATCTCGTCATAAGAGCCAAAACTTAATTGCATTCCTGTAGATGGAGGTTGGAAATGTAGCTGTCGACTGCGCCATTGGAAGGAAATGTTGGGGGTCCTCACTAACAGGCAATGAGCACAGCCTAGGGGCTTGACTGCAGTAGTGCTGTGACATTCTGTTAGAGTGTAACTTTAGATCGCGGGTAATCGCTAACTGAATCGAACATCCCCAGGCTGCTTATGCGGAGCTGACGTACAACTACAGTGTAAAAATGTCTGAGAGTTAGTGGGTAGCTGCCTGTGAGTGAGAAACCAAGACTACTTTGGGGGTTGAGGTTACCTAATATCACCGACTGGACTCAACTTCAGTCCGCATAATGAGAGCTTCGCTGTAAGATGATGATTGAAGAGGACCCATAGGTACAGTATCCAGAGGAAAGCGTATGGACCGATTTCAGAAATGGGAAAAAAAAAATATCTCAAGACGGATAAATTACGATCGAATCAATCGTATCTGTCATATCTTCAGAGAGTCTTACAGGCCAGTGAGGTGCCCAAGAAGCTTTAAATCGCTTTCCATGCCCCAACTCTGCAATTGGTTAGAGTACAATATTTCAAGTTGGGTCGGCGGCGCCGCCTGATCACAGACCATCTGCACCAATAGCCGGGGTAAGAATCTTCAATTCAGGTATTATTACGGATTAACGGCAGAGAAAAAGACAAGTCCCATTTCCACCTCGGTAGTCGGAAACCCCCGAAACAAAGTCCATCGTAACGGAGTCATTGTCTTAAGCCTTGAGGTTGGAGACATAAATGCAGTGGGCGGCGTCCTTCGCGTCGGTGCAGTCGCGGCGGATCAGCTTGGCGCCGTTGTTGACGCCGTCGCAGCTGCAGTGGGAGCATTCGTGCCAGTAGCACCGGTTGCTGTCGTAGTAGCAGGCAATGCCCTCCTCAGCCACACAGAGCTTCTGTTATAGCAGACTTGTCAGTAAATCTGGACGATCTGAACCTTGAGACCGTGTGTAACTTACGCGAGCGAAGAGCTGGGAAGCCTCGTTGGGAGAGGTTTCGAGGGGAGCGGCGAATACGGCGCCGAAGAGGGCGACGGCCGAGAAGATGACAGCCGACTTCATTTTGAATGTTGTAAAAGAGTGTTTAGATTTTAAAGAGTGTGGGTTGATAGCGAATATGTAGCTGTTGACAGATTTGTTCGAGTTGATAAAGTAATATGAGTTGGAGGGAGAGAATCGTCCTTCGTCTTCTTAATAGAAACGTCAACCTCATGTGTTCTCCCTTCCTGTGCCTTTTTCCTCTCATCCCACGTCGTGCCGTTGTCCCCATCGCCAAATTTGCCCGTGCTTTCTCCCTTCCTGTGCCTTTTTTCTCTCATCCCACGTCGTGCCGTTGTCCCCATCGCCAAATTTACTCGTGCTTTAAAATTGCGCATCTACGGGGACGATGACTTTTGAAAATATCTCCGAATAGAACACCGACACGCAGACCCGGAACACAGCCCGCGAAGAGCGCGGCAGGGCTGTGCTAGCCCACGATCCCCGCAGTTCTCAGCCAGCGGAGTTGGGCTCACTAGGAGCTACGATACAACATGGATATCAATGTAGTGCGAAGCTTTGTTGTAGAGGACAATAAATAGATTGCTTTTCAGGAACCGAAGATACATGATTCGTCATTTAGGCCCGATCGAGGTTGCATGTGGTGCTGATATGTCAACGCAGGTGATTGTTGATGTGTGCAAAATTGCTTACCCCCTTCAGCCCTTCGGGTGGACTCTCCCACAATCCCGCGCCGAGATGACAAAGTGATTTCATGTCTATTGGCAAGCCTAAAATAGTAGTAGTTGTGTAGCTGTGGGTTAGCGCACGAATCGTACAACGCTTTTTGCTGGAATGCTCGGAGCGCATAGGCGGAACGTGGAGATTTCAAGTTTCATATATTTCTGAACAGGAAAATAGACAGCGAAGACACCATCTTCTTCTAATGTGAAATGTGAATTTGAATTTGAAATAGGCTATTTTACTTCTATTGGTAGGGCCCGAAGGTTTTGGAACAACTTAACGAGGTATAGTTTAACATCAACTGATCGAAAGGTGACAAGGAAGACCGCGCCATATTAGCTCGGGACTTGGAACAGCCCTATTCTAGCCATCGGCATCTTCCGTCTAAAGGCGCAGATCCAAATTTCGGGCACGTCCGCATCCGCTTCGACTTACGATTCATGTCATTATAGGTAGAGAGGTCTAGTCGAGATGGAATCTCGTTGGTAATAGAGCTGTAAGCGAGTTCGGTATAGTCCTAACGGGGCGACCTTAACGTCAGACAAATATGCTCAACTTCCCCTTCCCGGGAGTGCCGTCTTCGGGCTCTATCAACTCCTTCTTCCAAATAAACAGCCAATCCTGGAAGCTTAGAGCTGACTTAGGGCTTAGAGGCTAGCTCTTATAGCTCCCAGAGATCCGAGATGGCTTCTTAGACTTGTAAAAATGACGGCTAGATGGTCATTACTAGTGACGAGAGCTCGCGGATACTAGCGATCAATTGCGAGTAGGAGAGGGCTTTGGAGAAATCTAACCTGAGTATAGTGAGAGACGGAGAGATAACCATTGATGGTCATGAAGAATTCTGTGTATTCGTCTTAATGTTCCCAGATGCCCTCGTTCGCCATTGGAAGTATTCACACAATCCCGTGATACACATGGGATGTTGATGCCAAAAGGGCACCAGGCTGCTTAAGTACCTGGTCATTTGTAGAGGACTTCACAAAACGAGATGCGGAGTCCTTCAATAAGAGTCTTGGTGAGCCTCTAGCATGATCATCTAGAAATTCAAGCTGTACCCCGTAGCTTGTTTACACACTATCAACGGGTCAATGTCACTCCTACGGGCATGGTTTGGAGGACTAGGACTTGTTGCTGACGACTTCTAGTTCAAGTGTCGAAACTATTTTCACTAAGATTCCCTATACGTCCATATAAGTTTGGAGACAATAATCTCTTTGTATGATATGGAAGGCTCAAATTCCATCCTCAACTTTCTCTCTGGGCCCATGCCTTGACGCGGACTTGCGGACTCGCGGAACAGGATGGGTGAAACCCCTTACCGGTGACGAAGCAAGATAACGAGACGGCATATAGACTATCCGTCAATAAAGAATCGAAGCATATCATAACGTTACTCAACGACTTTCTATGCCATCAAAAGCCGACCAAATCGCTATCTTATCACTGACATAACAATTTTCGGAACCCCCGCAACCAGCATCGTACGAGCAATCGTCAGTCTAAGCTGTGGCATCCATCATCGCAGTAGCTGGAGGCACCGGCGATCTCGATCGTGCCATTGTTAAGGATATTCCAGCAGACGGGAAGTTCTAAGTCGTCATCTTGAGCAGAAAGGTAATGTGTGTATAATTCCCACGATCCAAAACGCCGCAGGTTCGATTCGCCCACTAAGGTAAACAAAACTCTAGGCGGATGAAGACAGGGAGAAGAAGATCGGGGCTCGTATTCTGCCGGTCGACTATAGCAATGCCGTCAATATTGCTAAGGTCTTGGAAGAGAGCAATGTGCATACGGTCGTGTCCACCCTTAGCAACATGGCGTCTGTGCAGCCAGATTTGAACTTGATTGCTGCTGTCGACCAGTCCGCGGCCACCAAGCGATATGTTCCAAGCATCTGGGCCGCCAAATCCAGCAGAGAGTAATTAAGCATCAATTTTCCGGACTCTTTGTGGACAGCAAGACTAAGATACTCTTTCTCTCATAGATACGCGGAGGGGATGCCAATCATTAAACTCAAGATTCTCATCATTGACGCACTTGAAAAGACCAACTTGGAGTTTTCGGCTTAGTGCCCTGGATACTATGTATGTCCGCCCTTGGAAAGTCATATCAGGAGCATGGCTATGGTCGTGGACGTCGTCAACAGCAAGGCAGGCATCCCGGGTTCTGGAGACGTGCCAGTGGCCATGACTTTCACATCGGACCTAGCCAAGTTCGTCGCCACAGCCCTAACCCTACCAAAGTGGGAGCAGGAGACTTATCTTACTGGCGACAAGTTGACGTGGAACCAGCTTGTCGAGCTCATTGAAGCTGTCAAGGGTGTCAAGTTTGACGTTTCCCATGACTCAATCGAACGTTGAAAGCTGTCAAGGGTGTCAAGTTTGACGTTTCCCATGACTCAATCGAACGTTGAAAGCTGGCAAGGTGACGAAACTGCCTCGCAATAGATCACCTTACCCTTACATCTCAGACGAGCAGCTACAGCCGATGATTGCCATCTTAGGTCTCATGTTCGAACGTGGTGTATTTGACTTGAGGGTTGAGACCTCCATCATGCAAGACTTTCCTGATCTCAAATTGAGGTCGATGAAGGAGCTGCTGGAAGAGGCTTACAAGCTTAAAGTTTGATTATGTCACTCCAAGGAACGCCGAGAAACTCGAAAGAGTTTGTGAAGATAAATCGAGAGGCATTTTCTTTGGTCTTGATAGATATGACATAGGGGAAACATATGTGCAAAAAAAGAATGCCCAAAAATCGGTACTCAGAGTGGCACAAAGGCTCCGCGGGGCGCCCATGCAGGTATCTTCAACAGCCCACATGAGCCCCATGTGTCATGGCATGACAGTGGTGCGTGAGGCCGATTCGGGCGATCTCGGAGCTTAAGATTGTGGACTCGACAGGAAGCCGTTTCCCCAGATCGACAGATTCCCCTGCAAGCGTCCAAGATGGGCAGCTCCCGGACGGAAGGGTGTTCCGAGAGCCTAGAAGGTTCGGGTCGGACAGGAGCATAAATATCGAGGTAACTCCCTTTCAAGCAGAGGCTGCAGAGTGCCGCTCTGCTATGCATTTAGAGATGCTACGCGAAACGGACATCGAATCGGCATCGGTGTCTTCGCGCATTACATCACGAATCCTGACAGATTCCCCGAACTGTCTGACACCAAACATATATGACTGCGGTACTGGCGACATTCATACATACTGGCCTTTGCGATTGGGCCGACGATAGACGAGCGATACAACAGACCTGGAACGAGCCTGGAGTGAGTCTGCAAGAATCGTACCACAACGTTCGGATGTGCCCGACGTTCAAGAAAAGAAGGGCTTCGTATTATATGGGAGAATGCTGGATGGGGGGGGGGGGGGGGGGGGTTGAAGCGGGCAGCAGCAGAGAGGGGTAAAGAGTGCGGGGGCGGGAAGGGGAGGGCAGGAGGCAGCGGGTGGGGCAGCGGGGGGTGAGAAAAAGGAGGCGGGTTCGATATTGTGTGGGGTGGGGGGGGGGGGGGGGGGGGGGGGGGGGAAGATGACCGAGTCGCAATCTAGCCCTCTTGTGGACTCCCTCGACAGAAAAGGGGGACGACGAGGACCCGAAAAGCAACACGAGGCATCAGCAAAAGTTTTCACGAGCACCTGACAAACGCTCGGTCACAGACAACGTGATAAGAAAACAATTTCCAAAATAATTGAGGTAAGGGAAAGGAGCGGTAAGTCTCCGACCGGCCGAGAGGTGAAGCAGCATGACCCAAGACCGGGAATATGTCTCCCACTCTACCCCACCACGCCCCCAGATCTTTCTGGAGTCTTTTCTTAAACCCACTAGAACCCATCTATCGGATCCAATTCACATGTTCCCATTGGCGCGGGTAAAGTGCTGGATAAATAGGCCACAGGACGCTAGAGTCGGGTACAATGCCGCTGCGTTGCGCGCCTATGACACCTTGGGACAACTGTTCCACTGCGAATTTCGATGCTTGGGAGAAAGCCATCCGAGGACTCAACATTGTTGACTTTGGTCTATTGGAAAGAAGCCAGCGGGTAGCAGTCAACAAGTCTGATGCTCTCCCGGAAGCCCTCCTCAAGTCCACAACCCCGGTACCATCTCCCTACGAGATCTGCTCTTTCAGACCAGTTAGAGAGACGCTTTGGTCCATCGTACAACCAGACCCCAGGTTCTTACGAAAACGAGGAGCAACGTGGGAAAAGTTGAGAAGCTCCCTGGCAACCAAACCAAACCAAACCACCAAACCAAGCCTCTCCTTCTCTTTTCTTTTTACCCCCACCCCGCACCGGCGATAGCTCTTCTGGAGCACAGTCAAGGAAGAGTCTCGACTGCCATAGCAGGGAATGAGGGCGTATGAATACGGGTAATGACACGGGATAAACAAGAACGTGGAGCTTCCCTCCAGCTCTAGGCTGGAATTGGGAAGTCTAGGAGTCTAAGACGCGCCGCAATGAGGGGCAGCCGTCAGTCGCACAGAACACCGGTGGGTTACCAGTTGAGACGATGCGCGATCTTTGTCGTCTCTCACCCACGGCACGGCACAGGCACAGCGCAGCTCGCTCATTCATCCTCCCAGAACATCCGTAACGTGGTCGCATTCCCCATCCTGATCGCGTCCCTCCACATCCCTCCAACCCCTCCAATCCTGATCCTGACCCATCACAACGTTTCTGCGGGCCAAGGACTGCCGTCATAGCTATTTAATCCATTGCACGCCGGTCCACGATACCCGGAGCATCACTTCTACTCTCACTTTTCTCGCTCGGCCTTCCATCATCCAGCGTACTGATTGTCTCTACCATTCCCCAACGATACCCCTTTTGTTTAGGAGACTGTAAACTCTGTGACGAACGCGCAGCCAAAAGTGAATCTTGTGCTTCTCTCGGTGGAACGAGCACCGACCAACTCCCAACCCCCATCCCTCACCGAATCCTGCCTCTTCCCGTAACCCCGCAATCCATCCATCATGGCCGGCACCGAGGGACAAAGCGTATGTTTCCCCTCATCACGGAGGCCTGTTTGCGCCTGGAGCTCGATCGACATCTACTAACACCCCTTAGAACCTCTCCTTCATCCTCAACAAACCCCACGACGTCGAGTTCGCCGAGCGCCCCATCCCCAAGCTCTCCGACCCCCACGAAGTCCTCGTCGCCGTCAACTACACTGGTATCTGCGGATCCGATGTCCACTACTGGGAGCACGGCGCCATCGGCCACTTTGTCGTCAAGGACCCCATGGTCCTCGGCCACGAGTCCGCCGGCACTGTTATCCAGGTTGGCGAGAACGTAAAGAACCTCGTAGTTGGCGACCGCATCGCTCTTGAGCCAGGCTACCCCTGCCGTCGCTGCGGCGACTGTCTTGCTGGTTTCTACAACCTCTGCCCCGATATGCGCTTCGCGGCGACTCCCCCCTACGATGGCACCCTTGCCGGTTTCTGGACCGCGCCCTCCGACTTCTGCTACAAGCTGCCCGATAACGTCTCCCTGCAAGAGGGAGCTCTGATTGAGCCGTTGGCCGTTGCCGTTCACATCACCAAGCAGGCCCAAATCACCCCCGGTGCCTCCGTCGTCGTCATGGGCGCCGGCCCTGTTGGTCTGCTCTGTGCCGCCGTAGCGAGGTCTTTCGGTGCTACCAAGGTCGTCAGCGTCGATATCGTCCAGTCCAAGCTTGACTTCGCCAAAGACCTCGCCTCTACTCACACCTACCTCTCCCAGCGCATTTCCGCCGAGGAGAACGCCAAGGCCCTCATCAAGCAGTGCGACCTCGGCGCGGGAGCCGACTGTGTCATTGACGCCAGCGGCGCCGAGCCCTCTATCCAGACCAGCTTGCACGTCGTCAGAATGGGCGGCACCTACGTTCAGGGTGGCATGGGCAAGTCCGACATCAACTTCCCCATCATGGCTCTGTGCTTGAAGGAGGTTACTGCTCGCGGCAGCTTCCGTTACGGCCCTGGTGACTACAAGCTCGCCATTGATCTCGTCGCCAACGGCAGAGTCAACGTCAAGAAGCTTATTTCCGGCATTGTCGAGTTCAAGCAGGCTGAGGAGGCCTTCAAGAAGGTCAAGGAGGGTCAAGTGATCAAGATCCTCATCGCCGGCCCCAATGAGAAGGTCGACGGAACCTTCAGCACCGAGGTGGACCCCAAGAAGGCAGCCGAGAACAGCAACCAGGGTGGATGCTGCTGAGCGATCGGCGGGGATCTCCAAAGTCAAATAGGAAAAAAAAAGTAATGACTGGCGAGCGGATGATATCGAAAAAGTTGGGCGTATTGGGTGGGTTTGCAATGTATTTTCCGGCGCATGCAGCATGTACGGGTTTTGATGAGGCGTGGTGAGTACGGCACAGCAGAGTATGTTTGCATTGGATGAGTATGATCAACGAAAGATTCAATCACTTTTTGCACTTTGTGGACTTATCTCCGCGTGTCTCATGCCGGTTCCGGCTCTACTGGGAAGTTGGGCAAGATTGGCCATTCATTGTTCCTACACCAGGCTGCTTCTGCACTGCGTAGCATCGTCAGTCCGTCATATCAAGCATCATACGACAACCTGCGCCCTTTACAAATTAGCATCAGTGTTATGAAACTCATACAACAAGACAATGATCATTAGCCGGCAGACGGGACCCTGGCCAAGTCCAACCAAAGTTATCTTTGCGGGCATGGCCACATGTTAGCATGTTAGCTCAATACCATTATCAACGCCCAACGGCCACCAAAGTCCGAGTCTTTGCTATCGCGACAACTCCTCAGAGCCTTATTTCCCCCATTTCAGATAGTGGAGAGGAACTTGACGAAGCATCCATTCACGGCCACGAGATAGACGAGCAACAGGCATGTAACCTGCGCAAAACTCCGCCCTCCCGCTCAGCTGAAGACGCCACGAAGCGCACTAGCAGCTTGAGCGTCACTCTTGTCCCCAGAACCGGTCTAGCCCGGACGCCTTGGGTCCCACAACCTCACCCGTTCCGCCCTCTTACCCCCGGTCAACGCGGAATCTCTAATGTCCCCCATCTGAACCCTTGATCAAGCCTCAAGCCGGGCAACTCAACCCCAGACATGGTCTAGTGATCTGCCTACGGACACGGATTCACAGCAAACTGACTAACACCGGCCACCACTAGTGAGAACAAACGTTCGCGCCCAGGACTCACCACAAAATCCGTGTCGACCACCCACCCGCATTACCGCAGCCCTGCCAAGGCAAACGATGTCAAACTTGCAGAGGAGCTGAACCACTGAGCAACCACTCAACCACACTAGCATCTCAACTCATGGCTACTCACGGCCGTTTCTAGCTTGAAAAGCATCCACAATTAGGCTTTCTTCGTTTCCATGCACCCGTCTGGGAAATAAGCCTTTCGCAGCCCCTTACTTTTGTACGGCTTGTATGGGAGCCTCATGCAAGTTTGCCGCTAGACTGAAGTCTCTCCTCGGCACGCTGGTTTATCACAAGAACCCTGCATCACGATGGACGCCATCAGGTACATGTGGCACGCCCAGAGAGCAAGAAAAGAGAATGAAGGCTGAAAGAGGGAGCGCTCTGGTTGGCTGTGTGAGAGATGGAGGAGATGTAGGCGACGATGTCGGCCGCCCCCTCCCTTGACTCGTCCTTATCACTTTCTGTCTGAGTCTCACTCCATAAGTATACCTGCATCATGCCCATATCCACCATGGCGCTCTTGGTCTTTCTGTCTTTGATTCCCCACGAGCTCGACAAGACCTCCATCTCACTCACGCCAGGGCCGCCAACACTGACGAGTCGACAAAAACCGTGAACAACTCGTCTCGCTATACAACCTTGTCTATCAACTCTTGGACACCATGGAGAATACCCAATATCAACAGCCTCAAGCACAGCCTCAACCGCAGGTCCAGCATCAACCACAGCATTTTACCCACCATGCTTCACCCAGCCCACCACCGCCCATGATCATGACCCCGGCGTGGATGGTTGCCATCCGTGGCGTACAGTTCTTCCTGGCCATTGTCATACTCGGTTTGTCAGCAGCTATCATTCACTGGGTGTACATGGATGAACTCGGCCTCGCTGTTGCTATTGTACGTCCTTCCTCTCATCCATGACTGCTCGTGCAGGTAGTTCCCAGATCCATCGACTGACATACCCAATCAGCCTCTCTTCACGTGGATCATCGTACTTTACACTGTCCTCTCCGAAAAGATTTCTTCCCTCCGCAACCTCTACCATACCTATGCCGTCCTCGCTCTGGATCTCTTCCTTGTCATCCTCTGGCTCGCAACGATGGGTGCCTGCGCCGCCCGTCGTGCTACCTTCACCGTTGACGTGACAGCCTCTTGTACCTCGGATGGCTCTGCTGTGAACTCGGGAAGCTGCACCATCTACAAGCGATACATCGTTATGAGCCAGGGCGCGTTGGCCATGTTTTCTGCTATTGCAGGATTATCTGCCCTGCAGTTCATTCTCTTCTTGGTGACCTTCATCTGGACTCTTGTTCAGTTCTTGCGCTGGAGAAAAGCCAACGCACCTGCCGCTGCTGCAAGCGCCAGTCAGGGAGAGATTCAGATGGAGTCCAAGCAGCCGTTCCTCACGCAGCAGACTGCGTACCAGCAGTCGCAGAACGGCCAGGTTCCCCAGCAGCAGCAGCAACAGCAGCAATCCTACCCGCCTCAGTCCTACACGCCTCAGCCGCAGGCTCCTCCTCAACAGTACCAGCATCAACCACCTCAACAGTACCAGGAGATGCCGAGCCAGCAACCCCAGCAACAACAGTATCAGCAGGCTACTCCGGCCCAGAACTACACACAGCCGCCGCACGACTATCAGCAACATCCGCAGCAGTACCCTCCTCAGTCATATACCCCTTCGCCTGTTAACGGCACAGTTTCGCCGACGCATTCCCCACCCCCTCAAGGGCAGACTTACACCTATCCCCCGCAGGAGCTTCGGTAGACATCAGTTACGAGACACGAAGAGTCGACAATGAGCTGACACTTGGAAAGTGGCCTGAATCTATACTGGTTGTCTGTCGTATGATGACTTATTGATTTGTTGGCTGGTGTAATGTACCATTGTTATCTTGGGTTGGGGAGTTGGCAGCAGGCTAGATATGACGCTAATGTCCTCGTGGTTGATAGTTAGTTGTTTGATTTGAATGATACCTTAAAATAAGTGCTTTAATCAAAATGGTTTTATAACAACGATTCAAATGACAAAGAAGTCCCCACCGATGCCTGTTACTGCGTATCTTATCATACCATCTTTGCCACGCTGGATCGACCATACACTGTCCAATATGAGTCTACATCCTTCCTTTAACCTGCACTCCCTTAGATTGGTGTGACCCCTATTTCTGTGCGTTCTGCCAAACTCGGAAGCCCCCGACTGCATCTGGGTTTCGCACTAAGGACAGCTTGATTGTGGGAATAAGATGATAAGATCGAAGAAGCAAGGCAGACGCATTTTCTAAGTTGCGGCAGCTTGTGAATTAGATCAGATGATATAGTATGTTTTTGCGAACGTTGGAGTGAATTTGCCCCCTGGCAATAGCAAGCTACACGAGGGCTGAGTCTATGCTTTCCATACCATTCACCACGGTTAGTAACCGATGGGCCCCCTTGTGAAGGAAGTCATGACCTTTTCCAGTTTTCTAGATGATTTCTTCCACGCGCGATATCTTAGATTGCGATCAACTCATCATGTTCTCTGCTAGGTATGGATGGCACTTTGGTACATCAGTGAAGCTCAGAGGGAGGGTTAGGATTTCCCGTCGCGGCCCTCGCCGACCATGATGTGATTTCCCAAGCTAAAGATACAAACGTTGACTATGCTTTTCGTCACTACCAAAATTTGGGGCTAGAAAGTCTGCTTCGAGTCTTATTTTAAAAAGATCTAGCACACCACAAATACTGCAGATTTATACTCCAGCACCTATGACCATCGCTTACACTTTGGTGGGATGAATGGAGATATTCTGATGGAGAGATGGATAGAGAAATAGAGAAAAACGGTCAGGTTTGATATTTTTGCAGCATGATGAGATCTTCCAGTGGCTCCATGTCTAAGTATGCGAGAATCAGCGCCTTTCTTGCCTAAAGAACACAAGGTTCCCTTAAATTGCTGCTCAAGCTCTGTTGTACTTTATGACATGGGTTTTGAGTCGCGCGCAGACAGAAGCTCCAGTTCGCATATTACGGACTTATGCCGAATACAGGAGAAGCTGAGGCGGCACAACAAATCCCCGAGTATAGCATACCGAGGCAATGGTGAGAACAGCTATCAGATACACTCCCTCCATTCGTGGGTACATAAATAAAGTCTTAAGTCTGATCAGGGTTATGATTATTTCGGTCCATATCCATCCTACTTCGTTGAATACAATTTGTTGACACGACGCCATACTAGCTCGGCCTCTCAATCCTCTATCATGCAGACCTCTCTGATCTTACCTCTCCTGCTCTCGACTGTCTCTTTGGCATCACCTCTGGTGTCACGGGATAGACAGCCTGATTGGATCGCAGGAGAGATCGCATATGCTGAAACCTACGACATTACCCTTCAGCCGAACCATATGGATATCGGTAAACGAGGCGTGCTCCTGGCTCGCTATAACGACGGCGAAGGCCGTTACCTAGGTTCCGACGGCAATCATCAGTACGCCTCGGGTGTCAAGTGCTGGAACGATTATTTCGTTGTCGAACAGAACCTTTACAACGACCCTTGGCGCCAGGCCTCCAGCAAAGTTTACTGTACCAAGAGCCAGTCGTGCCAGGCAACACAGGGCGTCAACAACCAGGTCTGCGAGATTACTTCTTTCGAAATTTCGGCTGGAATCACGGCCGAGTTCGTGACTGCCAGTATCAGCGTTGGCCATCAGACGCAGACTTGCAGCGGATCGACCTCTTTGACTGCGTGTACCTGGAACGATCAAGGGTGCCATGTCATTTGGAGCCAACAGCAGATGTTGAGCCAAAAGGGGTACCAAAGACGAAGGTGCACAAGTAGCAAAGGAGACTACACGGCCTGGACTAAATTCTTGGAAAAGAAGGCTCCCACCGAATTCAAGAATTACGGTTGTGGAAGCTCCTGCAATGATAGCTTCTGACTCGAGGATCACCCTTCGGCGGCGCATTATGTGGAAGTTAGACAGCTGCGCACGTACGTTGTCTTGACATCGCTTCTTATGTCAGTAGCATTGACTTCGTCAATTCCTCAAGTCTGTGGGCTTAGGCTTGTCTGGCCAAGGGGCTAGGGAATTTTTGGTACTTGGGCTAGGACTAATTCTAAAGCCGAAGGCAAGTTATCATACTCGATTACTGCGAAGACTATTTAGCAGTAGATAAACAGGGTATATTGCTTTCTAAAGTATATATCAAGTTAAATCCAACTTTAGTCACCGAAACTATTCTCTTTTAGCTGGTTGCCCTGCCACAAATTTACATCGATCGTTGTATTTGTGGCTAGATTGAACGATGCGTTTTCTATAGGTAAACTATCTGTAGTAAAAGGAGCGCCAGTGGACAAAACACATCAGGAGTTGATCTCTACAAAATCAAGAGGAAAAAGGGGCATACTTGTACCGTTTGTTCAATGAGTCAACAAAACGCCAGACTGGAGGCTTCCCCCCCCCTGGGTCCCTCTGAGCGGAGTTCCAAACCTTGAAAGCCCTACTTTGTCCTAAATCCTTAAGTATAACATAAAGTGCACATGATAATCTTAGGACCTACGCATTTTCAAGTCCCACCAGCTAAGATCTCATACATGAGCTGGCTGCTGAGCCCATCGGACCGCTTTGCCATGGTTCTTGTATTTGATTCCCGCCAGAGTTAGTCAAGCTTAGGCTTTCGGACTCCTTAGCTATCTTCCATGCGGTTGTCAGATCATTCGATCTCAATGGGGCAGAGCCGGCATTGCGTTTGCCTCCAAGGCCTCGAGGAGGGGGCTCGCCCTTATGTCTGATAGCTGCGGATTGCTATGAAACTGACTCGAGGCCTATGCTCGCTGACGTATATAAAGTTAATCTTCTTGAATGTTGGAATAAGTCTCCTCTACTCTTTCTCATCCTAATTACATTCGGCTTACTGTTTTCAATGGCCTCTTGGAGTATTTGAGAAAGAAGCCTTGCACAGAACCCCGCCTTCTCGAGCATTGCCAAGGAAGTTCGAATAAACAATATCAGCAAATAAGAGAGTGCTTCTTGCCAGAAGAAAAGGCGATCAAATGGGATGGCGGCTGGCATGTCAAAGTTATGAAGGCTTCCGCCGTTACTTGCCTTTTGGCATCTCACGCCGGCATCGCTATGGCCGCTGTCGGCTGCAGAGTCGAGCTTCTCGATGTCTACTAGGCTATGGTTGGAAGTGGTTGTGTTTCTTTCCAGTTGTCTGCAATCATCTAAGATCCCAACTAGCGCAAAGGTCCTTACACTGTTTATGCCACAAACGACTGCGGCCTGAGCCTGGAGGCCAAGACTCGCTTTGCTGATGGATACACTCTCTGCAATGGGGGGTTGGGTTGGGTTGGGTTGTTAAAGCATTTTCTGAAACATTCACGTTTGTTTGCGTCTTGTATCCGTCTAAGCTTCACACAATGTGCGGATAAGGATAGAAGAAAGATTCAGCTATGTGGATATAAAGGTGACGTGGGTACCTAACATTGGACTCGATCATGAGGAAGATCTTTGCGAAAGTTTAATAGCAATTCCAAGAAATTTAAGCCATCTTGGGGAACTCCCCAAAGGCTATCTGCTAGCTGTCATACCGAGCGGTTTATTAGTCATGCTGTCGGTAATCCTGCCGTACATGGGAGTGGGTGGCTTCCTGTACTTTGAAAGTCACAGAAATGTAGTAAAACCGCCTAGCTCAGTCCATTATGATTGCGTCTCTCAAATTCCATCGCAGGCTGGCAATTTCATGTGAAGTAATTTCGGTCGCGACCGTTGAAAGATAAAAGTATGGCTGGAACGCAAGTCAGCATCTCTGGGTCAATGAACTCCGACGAGTAGGACTTATTTCACCAAATGTCACTGCACCAAGCCTTGAGTACTATGTCAGTCAGTGAGTTCAGGACAATTTCGATTTGATTGCTCTTATTCACTGCTGTTGTTATCTTTGGGGCATGATTTAGTCAGCGATACCATGCTTTTTAATCATGAGAGCATTCATCTCTTTTCATCATCCTGGCACAGTTTTCCCTTCAAGTCTGAGAGCAACAAGCGATGAGTCGGGCGTCGTGGGGCTTGTCTGCGGTACGCGCTTGCAGGAGCCTTGAAGCTTATGATAGCATTTGTTCCGTTTCGCAAAGACTGTGGATTGAGATTTGTGTCCAAAAATCTGACAGTGACTGTCACCACGTATTCCGCTATATATGTAGAGTCTCGCGTATTTTACAGTGTACTTTTGGTAGAGGAGTGTCATTGTATCTAGCCGTGTGCTTTGTTTTGTACTCATATCAATACTCGAGTTCGGTTTTTTCTTGCTGTCTAGAATGACTTATAACTAGAAGCTTTGCACACGGAAAATATCCAGAATGCGTAAAACAAATAGTGCTTATTGAATATATCAAGACCAATACATTGTTTACGGGACCTTAAACATCAGGTCAATAGCAACTATCAAACTCGACGACAAAGTATATAAAGTGTAAGGAGAAGAATTGTTACAGGAGAGTAGGTAGGAAGAAAGGAACAAGCATTACTAGTACTAACAAAAGAAAAACAGGCTTCTTATCTAGAAACTAAAGGGAGCGGCGTCTGCATTGTTCGGGCAGCTGCTCACAAGCTGGTCTCCAACGACAGACTGGGAGTTTGAAACGACAACGCTGCCGGCGGGATTCGTGAGCGAGAAATTGAACAAGCCACAGTTCTGCGCGTTGACGAACAAGATACGAATCGGATAGTATTGACCAGCAGTCGCAGTAAATGTAAAAGTACCCGAACTGCTTGTGTCGTAGTAATTGACATTTTTGTTATAATTTGAATTACTGTAGCCACTTTTGGCGACGCTGCTGCCCAGCCAGAGATAGACGCTATCGTCCACACCGCTGAAGCTGAAAGTGTAGGTTCCGGATGTAGCAGGATGAAAATAGCCAATATGCTGCACGATGATGTAGTTGGATTCTGATACAGTAGTACCATAAACATTTCGGGTCGAGGTGCCACAAGACGATGACAGACCAACTGTGGTCGTTAAGCCCCTATTATTGGGACTCTGTCCGCTGAGTACGGTTTGAATATTGAAGTAAGTTGTCTTCCAGTTTGCTTGTGAGGTTGCGTCTGAATTCTGGAACGGGATCTTGCCCGCCTGACTGGCGGTGTCGGTCGGAGCTTGTGACAAGCCATAGTACGCCCATAGCAATCCAGGGGTGCAGCTCGGGCTCGGCGTCACATAAGTGACAATAGTGGTCGTGCCAGCTGGGTTGGTCTGAGGAAGGGTTGTTATGCCAGTTTGGGATGCTGTTGAAGTTACGGTTGTCAGGGCGCCGGTGATGGGAACAAATGTGACGACGGTAGTCGTGCCAGCAGGATCGATTTGAGGCAAGGTCGTAACACCCGTTTGGGTAGCGGAAGAGACCACAGTTGTGATGGCACCGGTTATGGGAACAAATGAAACGACAGTTGTAGTGCCGGCGGGATCGGTTTGGGGTAAAGTTGTGACGCCCGTTTGGGTAGCTGAAGACACAACCGTTGTGAGAGCGCCAGTGATGGGAACAAATGTGACGACGGTAGTCGTACCCGCAGGATCTGTCTGTGGTAGGGTTGTGACACCAGACTGAGTTGCGGAAGAGACAACCGTTGTTAAGGCACCGGTGATGGGAGGCACGAAGCTGAGAACTGTGGTGATGCCAGCTGGGTCAGTCTGTGGGAGAGTGATCACACCCGTTTCGGTTGCCGTTGATATAAGCGTTGTAAAGGCACCGGTCAGTGGCACAAAGCTGACAACTGTGGTAGTACCAGTTGGGTCGGTCTGAGGCAATGTAGTAACTCCCGTCTGAGCTGCCGATGAAATGACTGTGGTGATGAAACCGGTGGCTGGAGGAACGAAGCTAACAACTGTCGTAATACCCGTTAGATCGGGTTGGGGAAGCGTCGTGATACCCGTCTGAGTTGCCGTTGATACAACTGTTGTAATGCCACCGGTAAGTGGCACAAAAGTGACAACAGTGGTAATTCCGGTTGGGTCGGTTTGAGGTAGGGTCGTGACGCCGGACTGAGTTGCAGATGAAACGACTGTGGTAATAAAGCCTGTGGCTGGAGGAACGAAGCTAACGACTGTAGTAATTCCGGTTGGATCAGTCTGTGGTAAGGTTGTCACGCCTGTCTCAGTGGCCGTTGAAACCACCGTTGTAATAAAGCCGGTGGCTGGAGGTACAAAGCTAATGACCGTAGTGACGCCCGTTGGATCGGGTTGAGGCAGCGTAGTCACTCCTATCTGAGTCGCGGTAGAGACCAGCGTGGTGAGTAAGCCTGTGGCTGGAGGTACGAAACTGACGACTGTGGTAATTCCAGTTGGATCAGGCTGAGGTAGGGTTGTCACGCCTATTTGAGTGGCCGTTGAAACTACCGTGGTAATAAAGCCGGTGGCTGAAGGTACAAAGCTAATGACCGTAGTGACGCCCGTTGGGTCGGGCTGGGGAAGTGTAGTCACTCCCGTCTGCGTGCCTGTTGACACAACTGTCGTGAGGAGTCCAATGGCTGGAGGGTTAAAGCTGACTATCGTAGTCGTGCCAGTTGGGTTGGTCTGAGGTAAGGTAGTAACACCCGTCTGCGTACCTGTCGATACTAGCGTCGTCAGGAATCCTGTTGCTGGCGGGACGAAAGTAACCACAGTCGTCGTTCCAGCAGGATCTGTTTGAGGCAAAGTAGTGACGCCTGTTTGCGCACCAGTCGAAGTTAAGGTTGTCAAAAGCCCTGTGGCTGGCGGAACGAAAGTAACCACAGTCGTCGTTCCAGCAGGATCTGTTTGAGGCAAAGTAGTGACGCCTGTTTGCGCGCCAGTCGAAGTTAAGGTTGTCAAAAGCCCTGTGGCTGAAAGCTCTGTGGCTTGCGGAACGAAAGTAACCACAGTTGTCGTTCCAGCAGGATCCGTTTGAGGCAGAGTGGTGACTCCGGTCTGACTGGCGGTAGATGTCAGAGTACGGACGACCCCGATACGAGGCACGAACGTGATCACAGTAGGAGGTCCGCCGGCCGTTCCGGGAGAAATGGTTGTCAACCCTGTAGTGCTGCCTGTTGAGGTAATAGTGACTGGAGGAGTTGTAGTTACGAATGTCACTATAGTTGGCGTGCCACCTGCAGGTCCGGGAGGAATTGTAGTCAGGCCAGTTGAACTTCCGGTTGAGGTGACAGTGATTGGTGCCGGGGGAGTTACAAATGACTACTGTTATCGATATAAAGTCGTCTCCGTCGCCAATATAATAGGGAAGCGTGGTAAGGCCGGTTGTACTCGCCGTCCGAGTGATGAGAGTTAGCAAATAAGGTCGGGCGCCGGTTACCGAAATGCCGGGTGTTGGAGGGAACGTCTGAACAAGACCGGTCGTAAAGGTTGTTCCAATAGGCCTAAAGCTAGTCGTAAGGGTAATGACGGTCACTGGTTCCCTGGTAATAAAGGTTATTATAGTAGTCGGTCCGCCGCTAGGGCCTAGCGGCAGCGTTATGAGACCCGTGGTAGTTACTATTAATAGCGCACATACCCATTCAAATCAATTAAACAAATAAGTTAAACAAATAGTTAAATATAGGAATTTTAGTAAGTTAAATAATTAAATATTATAAGGCCTTATATTTAATATATTTAATTAAATATAAAATTACGTAAAAAAATGAAAATCCGGGGCCGGGCTAATTAAAAATTAATATTCCTAACTACGCCCTATAAAAGTTCGTAATTAAAAATATAAATATTTATAGCAGGATTTGAACTTACGACTCCTTATTTATAACTATAAGTTCGGTATTATATTACTTAATTAAATAGATTATTAATAATTATTATAAAGAAAAAAGCCTAAGTAATATAGAGTACTAGATTTAGTATTTTATTATATTTAGGAATTTAAAAAACTTATACTAATTAACTAATACCCCCTTTTTTTAATATTAATAAAACTAATAAAATTACGTACTACTATTTCTAACTCTTTATAACTATTATAATTATTATTAAAATTAATTAAATTATATATTAATTAATTCGCTATATCGTAATTAATTAATTAGTAATAAGTCGTATAATCTTTAGTATATAACAATTACTTCGGATTACTTTATAGTTATAAACCCTAACTAACGCTAACTTCGTATTATTAACTAACCTTAAGAATTATAATAACCTCCTCGCCCTTTTAAAAATAATTTAAAAAAGGAGGATTTTTATTAATAATAATTTAATATTATAAAAGGGTATAAAATTAAAGAAGTTATAAATCTACTTAAAAAAGGTCTTTATTTAAGAAATTTATAATAAAAATAATCAAAGTAAAGTTTTTTAGTTTTATTGTTATTATAATAAAATAAGTATTATTATTTATTTTAAAAAAATAACTACGAGCTTAGTAACGACTTATTTAAAGTTAAAATACTAAGTAATAAATTTAAGCTTTAGTAAGTCGCTATATTTATTAAAATCCTTAAAGTACGACTCTATATTAAAAAGATAAAAACTTATCCCTAGTACTATTATAAAAAGCTAAGTAATAAGAATTAAAGAATTAATAATTAGGTATATTATTAATAATAATAACCTATTTATAACTTTTTAAAATCCTTACTTCCGGGCCCTCCTTTATTAATTAGATTATAATATTACTAACGAATTCTTATTATTATATAAAAGTATAAAAAAAGAGCTAAGTAAGATCTTTATTAAAAAAAAATATATAATTAAAATAAAATCTAGAAATTAATAATAAAAATTTACTTATTATTCGATCTATAGACCTCGCTAATATAAAATACTATTATTACTATTTTTACTTATTTTTTAAACTATACTAAGTAATAAATATAATATTTTATTATTTTATAATAATAGTATAGTACTTATAATAGGGCTAATATTACCTAAATTATAAAGTTTATAATAGATAATTAGGAATTAAGTAATTAAGTCGGGGTAATTATTTATAATAATACTTTAAATAACGATACTTACCTAGGTTATTTATATCCTATATTATCTTATACTTATACTTAAAAAGATATTCTTAATTAAAAAATTAAATATTACGGTTATATCCTTAACTTCGTTAATAAGGCCTTTTTATTTAATAATAATAAAGAGGTATTTAAATAGAAATTAAATATATTAATTAATATTAAATAGCTTTAAAAAGATCTTAACCTCTAATATATAAGGGGCCCTATTAATAAGCTTTAAAACGTCGTTAAATTTATTTATTTATTATTTTAATAATATAAGGCCTTTTTCGAGGTTAGTAATAAGACCGATAAGAACGATATATTTACTTTTTTAAAAAAATCGTTATAAGAACTTATACTAATACTTAATAATAATATAAAATAAAATTTGATATATTTTATAATATAGCGCTCTTTATAAAAAAGAAAATAGATCTATACTTTTTTAATAATTAGTCGAGCTTATAAAAATCTAAAATAATAGATCCTTATTAAAGACGTTTTTAATAATAATAATTAGTAATTACTAATTAAGCTAAAAGTAATACTTAAGCTATTTAATTTTTAAATAATAAAATACTAAAGCTAAGGTAAAAAAGATAGTTATAACCGTTTATAAAAAATAATAATAAGTTTTAAATATTTTATTAACTATTTTAAAAAATAAAAGAGGTTATATAATGAACTTTTTTTAAAAAAAATAGATCTTATAGCTTTTTAAATCGTAGTATTGTAATCGTAATTAACGTAAATAATACTACTTTATTAGTAATTAGCTCGTTATTAATTTATATCTTAACCTCTTTTTTAATCTCTAATTTTAAATAATATCCCTTATTATATTTAGTTTAAGTATATATTTAAAGAGCGAGTAGAGCTACTTTTTAATAATAATTTTAACTCGCGAGGATATTTCTAATTATTAATTGTTAATACTTAGTAAGTCCTTAATAAGTATTATATTAAGTTAAATAACTCTTTACTCTATGCTATAATAATTATTTTTTACCCTAAATAAGGATTAAAATAACTAAAAAAGAGGTAAAATATACCTAAATAGAGCTATTAGTTATTTAATATAAAAAAGGGGCTCTATAATTATTAATAAAAATAGTATATAAACGAAATAATAAGTCCTCCTCTTCCTCGTTATCTAAGTTCTCTTCTTTTATTACGATAGTTATAAACTACTTTTATTACCTTTATAATTCTAAAAAGTATTATAAAAGACTCGTAATATTAATAATAGTTAATATCTTAAATAATAAAAATAGTAATTAACTACGTACCTAAGCTTAATTAATATTACTTATAAATTATCCCTTAGCTAGTCCTTAACTTAATTTAATAATAAATTAACTATTAACTAACCTATTTAACGTTAAATAAGCTTATGCTTAATATTTTTACGATCTTTATAATAATAATAAACTATAAAAAAGTATTTAACTTTACGAAGTTAATTTTAACCTTATAATAATTATTAATAAGATCTTCTATACTAAAAGAAGTTTAATATTTTAAAAACTAGTTTTATAATAGTATTATAAAAATAAGAGGTTAATTTTTTAATTAAAAAAGCTAATTAAGGTTAAGTTTATAAGTTAGTACTATAAGGACTTTCACAATAGCTTTATTTAATTCCTAATTAAAAAATTAGTTAAATTAATTAATTATTTATTAAATAAGTTAAATAATTAAATATAGCGCAAGAAATTAATTAAATAATTAAATATAAACCTTATATTTAATTTGTTTATTTAAGTATAAGCGCTGGCTATTAAAGTAAGAGTTATAGGTGGAGTTCTAGTAACGAAGGTGATTACTGTTTCGGGACCTCTACCTGGGCCAATGGGAAGAGTTGTCAGGCCTGTCGTAGAGGTAGTAGATGTGAAAGTGACGGGGGCCGGTCTTGTCACGAACGTGACTACCGTAGTAGGGCCTCCATTTAGACCAGGCGGGATAGTTGTTAGACCTGTCGTAGATGCCGTTGAAGTTACTGTTACAGGGAGAATGCCAGTGACAAAAGTCACTACTGTACTTGGTCCACCGTTAGGGCCCGGCGACAGCGTTATTAGACCAGTCGTCGTCGCTATTGAAGTCACGGTGATAGGAGAGGGTCCGGTAACAAAGGTGATAACGGTAGGTGGACCCCCAGGACCCCCGGGCACAGTCGTTAGGCCGGTGGTAGTTGCGGTAGACGTGACCGTGACCGGTGGAAGACTCGCCACATAGGTGATGACTGTGTTGGGGCCGCCCGGTCCTCCAGGTATAGTAGTCAAGCCCGTCGTACTAGCAGTCGATGTGATAGTCACTGGTGCCGGGCCTGTAGCGAAAGTGACAACCGTCGGCGGCCCACCATTTGGACCCGGCGACAATGTTGTGAGACCAGTAGTGGTGGCGGTAGACGTGATGGTGATTGGTTGCGGGCTGGTGATGAACGTGATAACTGTATCAGGGCCCCCAGGACCACCAGGAATCGTAGTCAAGCCAGTTGTGGTGGCCATAGAAGTAAGCGTCACGGGCGCTGGGCCCGTGGCGAAGGTGATGACGGTCGGCGGTCCGCCATTAGGACCAGGAGGAACAGTCGTCAGCCCTGTGGTGCTTGCGGTTGAAGTTAGAGTGACCGCGGTGAGCTGCGGTAGGGTGGTGAAGGTAATAACGGTGGGCGGGCCGCCGTTCGGACCCGCAGGAATAGTGATGAGGCCAGTAGTACTCGCGGTTGAGGTGATTGTAATTGGAATAGGCGCAGTGCTTGAAGCAAAGGTGACAACAGTAGGAGGACCGCCGTTTGGACCCGGGGGGGATGTAGTCAACCCAGTTGTGCTTCCGAAAGATGTGAGGGTAACCGGAGGCGGGCCAGTAATAAACGTCACTACTGTTGGCGGACCGCCGTTGGGACGTGAAGGAAGAGTTGTGAGACCTGTAGTACTCGCAGTGAAAGTGACTGTAACTGGAATGGGTGCGGTAGTTGTAGCGAAAGTAACAACTGTGGGAGGGCCTCCACTGGGGCCTGGAGGTAGCGTAGTCAATCCGGTTGTGCTTCCGAATGAGGTCAAGGTGGCTGGAAGAGGACCAGTCGCAAACGTCACCACCGTTGGTGGGCCGCCGTTTGGACCAGCAGGAAGAGTTGTTAGCCCAGTAGTGCTAGCCGTAGACGTAATTGTAACTAGCACAGGCGCGGTTGTTGTAGCATAGGTAACAACGGTAGGAGGGCCTCCACCCGGCCCCGGAGGGTATGTTCTCAGCCCAGTTGTGCTTCCAAATGATGTCAAGGTGACTGGAAGAGGACCGGTCGCAAAGGTGATGACGGTCGTGGGACCGCCGTCTGGGCCCGGATAAAGCGTCGTAAGACCGGTCGCGCTGCCGGTCGAGGTCAACGTGATAGGCTGAGGCCCCGTCACGAATGTGACAATTATAGGGGCTCCGCCATTTGGTCCAGGTGGAATAGTAGTGAGACCGGTAGTGCTTGCGGTAGATGTCAAGGTGACAGGAAGCTTGGCTGCCGGCGGACCGGTAACGAAGGTAACTATCGTAGCAGGTCCCCCGTTGGGCCCTAACGGAAGCGCTGTGAGGCTAGTAGTAGATGCAGTAGACGTAACAGTAATTGGAGGAGGCCCCGTTGCAAAGGTAACGACAGTTGGTGGACCGCCGTTAGGCCCCGGAAGAAGAGTTGTCAACCCCGTTGTGGATGCTTGTGAGGTTATCGTCACTAGAGGTAAAGGTGTGGTAACAAAGGTAATCACAGTCGGCGGGCCACCATCAGGACCGGATTGAAGAGTGCTCAGGCCAGTGGTAGATGCGAAAGATGTTATGGTCACCGTTCCCGGGGGTTCTGGAGCGAAAGTGACAACAGTAAGAGGGCCTCCTTTAGGCCCCGGGGGCAGAGTCACCAACCCAGTAGTGAGGGCGGTAGAGGTGATTGTTACTGTCTTTTGGGAGTTGAGAAGCGAAGTGACGAACGTGACGACAGTAGGAGAATCTCCGTTGGGACCAGGGGGGATGGTTGTCAAACCAGTCGTAGAAGCAAGCGACGTGATCGTGACTGGGCCAGACTGAGGGGTCGCAAAGGTGACCACCGTCGGAGAACCTCCATTGGGACCGGGAGGAATGGTTGTGAGCCCAGTTGTCGACGCGACTGATGTGATGGTCACTGGAGACAGCGGCGTAGTGACAAAAGTAACCACCGTCGGAGGACCACCATTGGGACCGGGAGAAACGGTTGTCAGACCAGTCGTAGAAGCAAGAGAAGTGATAGTGACTGGGCCAGACTGAGGGGTCATGAAAGTGACGACCGTAGGGGGGCCGCCGTTGCGACCAGGAGGAATAGTTGTGAGCCCAGTTGTCGATGCGATTGAAGTGAGGGTCACTGGAGACAGCGGCGTGGTGACAAAAGTGACCACGGTAGGGGGTCTTCCATCAAATCCGGGAATGGTACTCAGGCCAGTTGTTTTTGCAGACGAGGTCACTGTAATAGGACCTGTTACGAATGTAATTACCGTAGATGGACCGCCATTCGGACCCGGGGGGACGGTTGTTAACCCGGGCCTACTTGCGAGAGAAGTGACAGTAGGTAAAGAACTCCTCGGAGGCTTTATATAGGTGATAACTGAAGTTGGATCTCCCGGGTGTTTTGGCGGAATTGTTTTGGCTCCCGTCTTGGAGCCTGTCGACGTAAAAACAACTACACCAAGGGTTTCAGAGGCGGTCAAAGTTACCGTTGTCTTTGACGTGATAGTTCCGCCTATGACAATATCGGTGGTGGTTAGCCACTCAGTCCACGTCCTAGATAATGTCAACAAAAAGCGCCCATGTTGAACTTTTGGGAAAGGCTCACCTGGTCTTGGTTGAAGTCGCGACATTCCCAGAACACTGGATTTCGAAAGGTTGGTATTCAACCACGACTTTGGCATCTATTGGGCAGGGAGAGTTACTACCCGCCGGAATGGCAACAATCCTCGTCAAAAGACGATGAAGAAAATCGGAATCTTCCACTTCATCTTGCCTATCTTGTGACTGAAAAGTCAGTTCGAAAAAGCAAATTTGGTCTCCAAGTCCCCAGAGTTCTACAACAAGGAAGAAAAGCGAGTTTTTGAGACGATGATTCCCTGATGCTTTGACATAAAAAAACAAGGACTGTTTTTAAATTTCGAGTGCTCGATTTCCTAAGTGGACATCGCATTGCCGTTGAAGCTGAGCCCGCTTAGGAGAGCGCCAAACCCATACGTGTTTCTGAAGTCAAGTGCTGTTGCCATTCGAGCCAACAAATTGATCGACAGAGTGACTTCTACACTACCATAAACCTGAGCTACCTACTCCGTACCTGTAATCAAAATTGTTACTGTAGCCCCAAGAACCTTGTCCCCGCCATTTCCAACCATCTGCTTCGAACCGGATGCAGCAATAATACTAAGAGACAATATCGCCTGTTTACATTATGAGAATATCTTCTGTAAGCAAATAGCCAATAGTAGTTCTGGACAGGAAAAGAAAAGGAGCTGTGGTACAAGTCGACCACCCAGAAACGAACGCCCTTCAGAGGAGGATTAGTTCAACTCAAAGCCGGAACGTTGGATGGATCCAGTCTCGCCTCTTGCCGATTAAGTTTTCAGTAACCTGCATGTATATTATTTCGTCCAATGGAAAAAAGTCTACGAACTGTTCTAAGGACATCTTGCTTCTGCATGGAAACATGGAGAAAGACGATTAGGCTAGGGCATGCCTTGACTAAGATCTCATTAGCTGTAGTGCACGGAATTACTCGACCGTCACACTAGACGATGTCAAACCGGATTAGAAATGATTGCTTATTCAAAGCAGGTTTGGATCGTTTTCTGGTTGAGACTGCATTCCGATGTAGCGACCCGAGATCAGAAGAAGAGGGGACAACGGGCGGCGATAATCATAGTGGGTGCAATGCATCCGGATGTCCGCCCATCTAGGTGGTGGTGGCTGTGCTATACGGTATGGTCCAATACTGACTCCCGACCATATAAGGTTTGAGAAGGAAAGACATCAGTGAATTTTCGGGCCAGATGCCATACGAAGGCTGATCAATTTCGGCAAGCAGACCTTTGTCCTAACTTCCGTTACATAGCGCCCGGCTAAGTGACTTGCCTGACATAATGAATGAGCAAGCTAGACCATCTTCAGAAACCGGTCGGTTTCGTGTGGTGATACGAGAGCACCGCATAGAGACTGAACTGAGACATTATCTATAACGCTAAACATCGCCCGGCACTTGGGGAGCGCTATGTTGTGATGATGTCCTACCTGCCTAGATCCAGCCCCAGGCGCGTCAAAGGGGTTAGGCCTATCTGGTGATGTTCGGGGTTAAGATACATAATCTACATTCCGATTCCTTGGCTTTGACGCTAGGTAGATGCATTGGGCAAAATTGCTTGGTACAAGGCGGTAGGTCATTACATTCGTGTCTGATTCTTCATTATGATCCTTCACAGTCGATGCAGCTTTCATTGCTGGAAGAAATTACGGATGTCTGCACTTAGAATAGCTCAAAGACTACATGCCAAGTAAGAGATATCAAACCAAAATGAGTCTTCACTTTCCTTCAAACTTAAGCGGACTGGAAGATTGGTAGCAGTCAAGAAGCTACATTTGATCCCAGCTCATGTGTTGGAACTTGTCAAAGCTACCCACATCACATTGAGAATTTCTATGAAATGTCTTAGACTGAAGCTGCGATCAGAGCCTGAATTATGTGATGACCAAAGATGTGCAGACAAAGAGGCGAAGAGGCATGTGCCTTTGTGAAGAAACTTCGAAGTTGTCAGGATCAAGTCAAGTGAGCCAAAGCCCACACGCTACCAGCATATTTCCATATTTCCATGTCTTGGAGCAGTTTCAGCTAGATTATTGTACATAATTTTGAATCGAGAGACTTTTTCCAACTACCTCAGACAACTAAGACCTGCTCTAAGTAATACACCTTCCATCCAAACCCAGCACTTTCATGGTCAGCTCTCGCAAGGCGCTTTTGACACGTATGCGAGCTTAAGAGTGCCAATTATCCGTACCGGACCTCATTTGCCCCGATTCTTTGTTCTTCTGGCGGTATGCAGCGATCGCCAAGTTAGTAGCTAGGCTTGATAACTCCGGCAACTCAGGATTCATGTGACCTCGCATCGCTCTTGATGACACTGAGGTATTATAATCAAACCATGGGACAATCACTTGATAATGGGCACTTAAAAGACGACACCAAACCGTGAAATCGTAGGATTGATCATTTCACCTTGTGAATTGGGAACAGTCGAAGGGTCTCGTGGCTTCCCAGAAACACCCCCCTCCCCCTCAGCTACCCCCTTTGGCGAGTGATTGTTTTCCTTTGCCCCTCAACTCAATCTTGAACACGACGACTTATCACCATCTCGATTCATTATTGTTAATCCCTTTCACTATTTTCTTAGCTTGCCACATATTTGGTCGACCTGAAACCTGTAGCGCTTGTGGCCATATCGTTTTACGTAGGTATGTTGGGCGGCAACATTGTCTACTGAGATTGAAACGTTGGTATTATCAACAGTCGACTGTTCAGTAAGCTGAAAGCCCTCATAAAAGCTCAGGAAACTCTAATACAGAAAATAATTACGCCTTCACATCAAGTCTTGCGCCAGTACCTTCCAGTAGGCCCGAAATGTCTCCTGGTATTGGTAAGTGAACCTTTCCCGTCTCAAGGCCACTTCGTTGTTGCAGGATGTTTAACACAGCTGTTTAACACAGCTACCGCGTCGCCTGCGACTCTCGGTAAAGTTGGTAGCCCCGGTAGTTCCCCTGCATCAACCAAAGTTGCTAGCGGCAGTTCAGGCGGTGGTGGAAGTGGTGAAAGTGGCGAAGGAGGCGGAGGAGGGGTAGGAGGAGAAGGAGAAGATTCTGACGGCAGCAATAGAGCTTCACCAACGAACAGAGGTATAGCTTCAGGCGCAGCGATCGTACAAGTCCCAACGGCCAGTGTCCAGGCCGAGGTTAGTGAAAGCGAAAATATCAACTACCGGCTGTTACTCCGTAGATCTTAATACCCTTTTCCCTTTCCCCATCATTTAGTTTGTGACCTTCCCTCACGTTTTCTTCTGGCAAAGTTACTAACAGACTCAAGGTTCGGGCCTATCCGAACCAAAAGAGGGCTCTACACTAGACCTGTGAGGATTATGCTCTCCCGTCACTCCTTGCTCTCCAGCAAATCATCAACTTTAGCATACGAGCACGAACATTCAGAGGCCAAACAAAACTTGGGGGGAGACCAAAATCCATGTATTTTTTTCATTAGGTTGCTGCTCTATCCTGAGCGAAGCGTGCGTGCCAAAACAAAACTATGAAGAAAAAACAGTCCCATCCGATCCGTCTCCAACGCAAACCCATGTTGATGATCTAATCCGCATCTTTCCCGACCAAAACCCCCTCTCTTGATGCGGTCAAGTTTCCCTCTTCTTTTCCGTGTCGAAAAAGAATCACGAAACCTCATTATAGCCCTGACCGTCCCGGTGTCCCAGAAGCAGTCAAGGGCTGGAAAGGCAAGTGAAGAACTCCTGCGGCGCAACCTTCCGGTGTGGAACCCCCCCGTAGCAGAAAGACAAGGAAAAACGGATCCCCCCCAAAGTAAGAATCCAGAAACACCCCGATTCCCCAAATCCCTGATTTTTTGTGTGATTTTTTTTCGCCGTGTGAAAAGAAGAGTCGTCTTGTGTGCTTTGTACCAACTCCCCGGATGTGTGTTTCCCAGTCCCAACCCATTCGAGTCAAACCAGATGTCGGAATCCACGCCCACGCCGTATTGTATGCTTGCAATTCGAATCATAGGTTGCCCTCCGACGCTTTTGGCACCCGAATCATTCCATGACCAGCCCGAACGGACATCTGCCCGAAAGAACAGAAAAACGAATCGCCCTGCTCCGTGTTCACAGTCGCCTGAATTTCCCAGATCATCCGAAACAGTTCCTTCACGCTGTGATCTCCCTGCCAACACCCTAAACAACTGCTGGCCCCCTCTTTCGTGTTCATTTGACATGCATCTCCTTTTACCCCGTAGCAATACTGTTCGACTCCGAAGTTGCAGGATTCGGCCCCTGCTTATGGTGTAAAAAGAAAACTCCTCAAAAGATGCCGAAAGACACCCTCACTCCGAGTACCGTGTCGAGACCGAGGTATATATCAAGTTTTCGTGACCGTGGAAAATCAATCGATGTTGAAATCAAGCTGAAACCCCACCCGCGCAAACCTCCTAACCATCATTCTCTTCCTGTTCAATTCCATAATTGCGCCAACGTTTCCAAAAGACGTGATGCGGTTCAAGGCGTCGAGTTCTTCTAGCCCCAGACGCTCGCGGGAGGCTGGCTCAGGCCGGAAGACTGGGGGCCCCACACCCCATTTCCACGGCCCCAACCGCCAGGGGATGCCAATGGAGTGGTAGATCTCTTCGAGGACGGGTTCGAGGCTCCAGCCTGGTTTCCTGAAGGTCGGGTGCCAATGGGAGCAACGGTCTGGCCCGATTTGGCTCCAGCCGGAAGCTCCTGACGCGGCGGGGAGCCGCCAGGCGAAGAGTTGTTGGTGCGGGCCGCAGCCTGGTTGACCGCGGACTCGAACGCACTCTTGTTGTTGCTCGGAGCGTTAGGCTGAGGGCTGGCAATGCTGCCACCACGCGAGCCTTGTTCGCCCGGGGGTCCAGCAATGGGCCCGGGACCAGCATCAGTAGCCGAAACGGGAGTGTGAGCATCACCGTGAGGAGGCGGGCCGCGAGCCGGATCGTAGGTCAAGGGAGATTGACCACGCAGGCTGGAGGGGCCGCTGTGGGTCGGGACACCAGTGCGCACGACTCCGTTCTCGTCAACATAACCTGCCTTCTCAGCAAACGGACCCTCGCCGTACAAGGCGCTCCGCTGACGAGCAATCAAGTCGCGAGTCTCCTCCTCGGACATGGCCTTGGCACCGTAGGGGATGTCAGAAACGACGGCTGCGCGCACAGTTGATTAGCATGGCTTCCTCCGAAATCTCTCGGTATTACGGGGAAGGGATGGACGAAGGATCTTTCAGGATAGCATCTTTCGACAGTGACATGACGGGGCAGCAGGATGCGCATGATGGTGAAACCCCTCGGCCTGAATTATCTATTTTTCTGCTTTGCTGGTTCCCCCCTGGCATATGGAGTATGTGTGCTATACAGAAGAGGGCGGCCTACTTCGTTGGTATTGCTGCTCAGTGTGCAGGTTTCGCAGTTCCCGCTCCCGTTGGGCGGCCATCCTTCTCTTGGCCTGCATCATCTGTTCCGCGTCGTTGGAGCCTCGGGAGGGCTGGTGGCGCTGGGAGGCGTAAAAGTTCTGGAGGTTCGAGTTGGGGTGGCCTCGGGCATCATCGAACTGGTTCATCGAGTGCGGTCTGGGACCGGGACCGGCTCCGGCTCCCATGCGTCCGGCTGCGCGTTACAAGTTAGTATCGGGAAGGCTGCGGTGATGCCCGCCAGTTGCGGGCAGACTTACTGAAGTCGAGGGATTTTCTGGCGGGACCATGACCGGCGGGACCCATCTTGGGACCACCAGGGGTTGGGTACTCACGTCCGCGACCGCCCATGCCGTATGACTTCCCGCCCTTGGCGAGATTCTCGTACGCACGATCAACCTCTGTAGGCCTGGCAGTCAGTGTCCGCACCACATCTATAGTAATTATCTCGTCAGCCTTGCTCTTCCTGCGCGCGGCACACTGTAGGCGCGGGTAGACGATGGACAGACGCCCGCGCCATGGTATTGGATTGCCGCGCGCCGAAGATTTCGAGATGACCTACCCTCGAATTGGTAGAAGAATGCGAAGTCGTCCTGGGGCGTTGGGCCGCTGGCACCTGTTGGCGAGAACCTCGAGTCAATTCCGGCGTCTGGTTTTGCGATTTGGTGCTGTTGCGACAACTGGGCCGACTCACCAGCACGGGCAGGAGGCGCTTGGTGTTCCCAGTTGTTCTGGCCGGGATTGGACCATTGAGGGTTGTTCTCGTAATAGGACATGGTGATGCTTGTGGTTGAGGGAGATGAAACCCGGTTGGCCACAGTTGTTGTCTGAGAGGTCGAGACGAAAGTGCCGCGCGAAAAAGGCAGGTCGAGAGATTTCTGATCCTTTCTTGAAGAAGGGAAAAATCAGTTCAGGTCTTCTCAAGGCGATGTTCGAGACCAGAGGCGCGGTTGAGAAGCCTCAGGGGGAACGGTGTCGCAAAGGGATGGGTTGAAAGACGGCGCCGCAGTGTCAGGGGAGAGGCCAACGGGAAAGACAGGGAAAATAAATTTTTGGGTATGGGCGGCGGCGCGGTTAAATGTCTCGCGGCTTTTTTTGCGCAGGGGTTGTAGCGGACTGACAGGGAAACCACTCACCAAAGGGGAAAAGAGGGACGGGGGTTGTTCCTCGAAGTTGTTGCGCGGGCTCGAGTCAACGATCAACGGGTACGAAAGCAGGCGAGAAGTAGAGCAAAGAAAGACTCTTTTTTTTGTTGGCCAGAGATGCGCAAGATGAATTTCCTTTGCAGCGGAGTTTGGTGTGAGGGTACTCGTTTCGAGGTGGCGGTCGTCGGCTGGTGCAGTTTGAGGTGATGGAGAGAAATCAGGCGAATGCTCCAAGATGGAGAAGAGCAAAGAGGTATGCGGGAAACGAGACGACGGCGAACTGGCGGGTCGAATCGGACGTATGGGTTAGTAGGTGGGTGGGTTGATGTGTGTGAGGTGGTCTGGGTATTAGAAGGTAGCGTCCGGGTCGGACAACCTAAGGTACCTAGGTAGAGTGATGCTGGTAACTATGTATCTTTCTCTCTCTCTCTCTCTCTCTCTCTCTCTCTCTCTCTCTCTGGTGTTCAAGGCCTGTGCCTTGACTTGACTTCGGACCGTGGCAAGGCGATGTGGGACTCGAGGCAGTGAGAAGAAGTCGAGCAGTCATTGCCAGCAGAGCAGGCAGGGCAGGGAGAGAGTCACAGAGAGAATGATGATGACTTTTTGCGTTTGCTAGTGCAGCCAGTCCCGGGGTGGCAGGATCAAAAGAGGCGAGCGTGGAAAATGGAATCAAAAATACAAAAATACATGAGAAAAAATGAGTGGGAGAGCCAAATGTGAGAGGGAGGAGCAGAAGCAGTAGGAACTTGGAAAGGTACTTCGTACGGGGGCAGCACAGCCAAGCCGATGCGGAAGGAAGGCCCAGTTCCAGTTGGCAGTCGCACAGTGGGCGGTGGTCTGGTGGAGGAGGACACAGGAGGAAGTGGTAGGCTCAGGTTGTCTCTGTATCCGTACGAGGTACTGTGACTTGCAACTTGCAACTTGCACCTGCACTTGGGGGAGTTCGGCAGCGACAAGTTTCCGGCCAAGCACCAGAAGTGGAGGAGGAGGAAGGAGAATACCAATGTGAGGTAAGGCAGTCTTGGGTACCTTGGGGGGCACACCGGGGCAGCAGCGACTGCGAGGAGACGAGGCAGGGATGGAGGGTGGAGGATGGGGGTGGAGGGGCGAAGGAGATGGAAGTCGAGGAAGGTGCCAACTGGATACCGTATTTTACTTCATTACCGTGTACGGAGTACACTAGCACTGCACCGACGAGAGAGGCACCCGACGCACAACCCGCACATGCCCTTGACCGTCTAACACTTTTACATGTCGGAGCATCAAATTTCTATGTGCTGGGCGGGCACTCTGTATTCCTAGGTAAGTGCGGACGTATCTACCTAAGGTATCATACGTTATCTGTCCTACGTACCTAGGTAGGTACCTAACTCGAGGTGCCTTGCTTCACCTTAGGTTGTGGAAGGTTTCTGCCTTGGGTACCTTGCCTTGTTGCGGATATGCAACAAGTAGAAGGAGCGAAGGGGGAGGGCCGGGGAGGAAGGGTGTGAGGTGCACTTCCTCAACATCGAAATGCTGGGTGGGAAAGACCAACTGCGACTGCAACTGCAAACTGCAACGGCGACTAGGACACCAACTGGGAATCTGGGACCAAGGGGGGCCAGGGACGAGAGACGACATTGGACACTGCACTTTGAGCAACGGGACGCTAGCGCAAGAACTTGACGGGAACTCCATCGCTGAGAAGGAGGAGGACGGGGTGGGGGTGGCCGAACCGGAGGAAGGTACCGGTACACTCTGCCTTCAAGAACGTGCCTGCCTTCAACTTTCCAACGGGAGGTTAGGTAGGTAAAACTCTGTACCTTTCGAAAGCACTTACCTTACCTTTCTTCACCTAGGATTGACAGTCAATAGATTTCCTACCATCGTCACTTTTCCCTTACAGATCTTCTTTTTTCCTCAATCCCATGAGTCTGAGGTATCATGTCCGGCCGACCACATCAAGCACAACAAACTGTTCGAGGCCGACCGCCCTTCCACTTAGGTACTGGACCAAGTCTACGCGCTTACCTCGAATTCCTGCGAAGCTTCTCCCTTCCACTCTGTGCCTGAAGTCGGAATTCCCAACACTGGGCGAGGGAGCCTGCCGCGACACTGTCGAGACGAGACGTCAATTTGAGACGAGACACCAGAAGAGGCAATGTACCAGTCATCAGGGACTGAAGTTGGATGGTACGCCTCCACTGGGCAGACTCCAAATATCTTCACTTGATACTTGCCGTCTCACTGTCCATGTAAGCATTTGGCAGCGCTTACTCAACAGCCAACAGCCTTCATTAATATCCACAAGTCGGCTCTCCCTTTGATGAGCAGCCGGTCCGCCGCAACGTCTCGATGTTCGTCGATGCGCGTCAATGCTCGAAGAGATTTCCAAGTTGCAGGGCATGCATCAGGACTACGTGGAAGCTGCATAGCTCACTATTTAACTCCATCGTTTTGCATTACTAAAGGATTACCGCAGTATATATAGACGCTACCCTACCCTCGAATTCCGCACTATTTAACCTTAACCCTTTTTATAAATCACCTATCCTTTCTTCTATTTTACCCTCTCCCTCGTTAAAAAATCGCTAGAATCGTAATTTTAATAACTTATTAATAAGCTAATATTACTATTTAAAAATAAATAACCTACTCTTATATATAAGTACTAGGAGTCTTATTATTATAAAAATAGCGGGGGATATACCGGAGTATTTAAAAAAGCTTTTTAATAAACTTTTAATACTATTTAAAATAATTATCCTCGAGCTATAAAAAAAAACTGAGGTACTATATTAATACGGCCCTATCCGTTTCGTTAGTATTAATAATAATCTTCTTAATATAAAATATATTACTAATATTTTATAGCTACGTTACTACTTTTTATAAATCGTATTTAATATTAATAAGGATTCTAATATTATTTCTTAATTTATCTCTTAATTTCTTTATTAAAACTATTATTATAAAATTAGTTTAGTTATTAATATTTTAATAAGTATTTTAACTTAACTTAGAGGCTCTTATAGCCTTTAAAAAAAGGCTTTTAAAGGACTTATAATTAGACTTTTTATTTATTATAAGTAAAGCTATTATAGTTAAAGCTATAGTATTAATTACGAACTTTAATAATAAATAGTTAATAATATAGTTATTTTTTTTTTATAATAAGCTTAAAAAAGTATCTTAATTTAAGTACTAAGTAAGTACTATACTATTTTATTAAAACTATATTCTTATACTTATAATTTAAAAAGAATTAACTTTCTTTGATAATAAGGTACTTAGGAAGCTGTATAGCTATAAGGATATATAAGTAAGGTGAGGTATTAACCTCCTCCTCGGAACATATATCTCAGTAGACGTAAGTAAATAGGAGGGGAGGCAGAAGACGGGGGCATGTCGACGTAGAAACAAGCCGAGGGAGCTTGTGAATGGTATCCGTCCAGTATCTTTTCAAAAAGTGGCCTGCCAGGCTGCCCCTACCATTCAGCATCATCCGGAACCTATTAAGGTAGGAATTGGAACGGATAGCTTATGTGATAAAGGCCATGTCATGGTCGGCGGTCGCCTGCACCTGCACCTGCACCTGTAGGTCGTCGCATGCGGTCTCGGGGATAATTAACATTTGGGAAATCGCGTGGGTAAGCACAGCAAGACGCCATCCATCAGTTGAACGTACCTAATCTCTGGGGCTCCAACTTGCCAGACTTGCTAAGTTGTTCCAGTGCTCCTGCTCCATCCCATCCCGTCAATGATCAGGCTTCAGCAAGCTTCCAAGCCAGGCGGGCCGGGGTCGGCAGGCGACCCACTCGATATTGGAGAAGCAGGAGAAGGAGATTGGCATCTCGAGATGAAAAGAGGAACATGCATACTTCTTTGTAAGGTACCATCTCGCCAGCCCTATCTCTCCTTCTCTTGCCGTTGAATCCGCTGGGACCGTCTCCAGGTCTCTAAAAGGAAGACGAGACAGCTGCTCGTGAAGTTGCCAGTTTCCGGTTCTTCGTGATGAGGTCAGCAGAAGAGGAAAAAAGGAAGGAGAACGACAGAAAGACAGAGGAAGGTAGCCCGGTACGTAGTTCCCCGTCGAAATCTCCATTGTTGCGTTAGCGCCGTTTCGACTGCACGGTATCAGTACTTGTATGTGTCTTGGGTTCCCGCCCGCGCCGTTCGTTCTTCTTCCCGAGCATTTCCATGTTCCGTCTCTCATTCCATGTCGCGTCTTTCCTCGCCCTCGTCCTTCTCCCGCCCCTTGAATTCTCAACATTGGGATTCCAGAGAAAATGTCGCCAGACCTAGGCCTGGAAAGGTGTCCTTGTATCCGGTGTTTACGAAGTCCTGGTACTAGACGAGAACCGCGGAAAGCGAGCGTCACAAATCTCACATGCTTGCTGTGCCTCTCGGAATCTTGCACAGCACCAGGACCGACTCCTCAGCGTCACTATCGAAGCAAGCACCACGCAGACAATCTCCAAGAAACCCGAAATAACGACTGGGCCAGACACAGACCAATGCGTGGGGAGCACCCCTGCCAACCACTTAAACCTCTGGTTGATCCACCCACGCTAACGAGCAACTAGTACCCATGTACCTTGCTTGCCCTTTCCGCGATTGCCATTACCAAACAGTAAGGAACCTACGGGGAC